CAGTGGGTCTTCCCTCCTCTCCTGTGAAGTTTTCCTCCCTCCACCACTCTCACAAACTTTCCCGCTCCTGGTTGCTGGGTGTGCGTGCCCGCTCCCCCCGGAGCCTCTCCCGCCTGCCCATCTTGTTTATTTACAGTCCCGGGAAGGATTCCCTTCCCCCAGTCTTCGACGCTCAGTGCGCCCCACCCTCTTTCCCTCGTGTCTTTATTGTTCTTATTGCTTATTAGTCAGTTTCTTTTTTTTCCCTGGGTGGGGGTCAGCCTGTCCAGGGGGCTATGCTGCTCTGGCCCAGGGATGTCTGTGGGAGTACCATGGCACCGTGAAGCTCCCCTTGTCCGCGTTTTCTCAAGCTGTCTGGGCGCAGGCGACTGGTGGCCCCAGGGCCCTCCTCGGTTCTCCGTTTAACGTGAAGTGGAGATTCCGTGCGCCGGCTGGAGGTGTGGAGGGGTCAAAGTTTTGCCTCTTCTCAGTGATTTTGCCTGTTAAGTGTGTCTCCAGCGTCTCTCCAAGATTTCACTATAGGAGGCTCACTTTCTGCTTCCTCCCTCTAGCCACCATCTTGGAATTCCCCCCAAATTAATTACTTTTAAATAAGAAAATTCCTTTTACTACAGGTTTCAATATTGGTGAAGCTATAGAACGTACATAGTTTGTTTCAATAAAGTTTTATGCAGGTGCTGTATTTGAATTATACTACAATATCTTTTACCTCTTGGAGCCACATCCTTGGTTATTAGTTAACCCAGTTGTAGCTTCCTGTTTACCTTTATTTTCTTTACTAACAATAATTTTAAAAATATATTTAGAGCAGATGCAGGTTCACATGACACTTGAGAAGAAATTTCCTATGTATTCCTTGTACTTGTGCCCCCACCCCCAACCTCTGTCACTATCAGCATCCCTCATCAGAGTGACACAGTTTGTTATAATTGGTGTATGTTGGCACACATCATTACTCAAAATCCATAATTTACATTGGGGCCCCTCTTTGTGAGGGACATGGATTTGAGTAAATGTATGATGTGTGTGCAACACTCAGTATTTTCACTGTCCTGATTGTTTTTTGTGTTGTGCCTGGTTGTCCCCCTCTCCTCCTTGGCAGCCCTTGATCTTTTTGTTGCCTCCAGGAATGCCGTGCAGTTGGAATCATACAGTACATAGCCTTTCCAGACTGACTTGGTTTGCTTAATAATTTGAACTTAAGTTCCTTTCATGAGGGCCCTTGGTTGCTTCCAGATTTGGGCAATTATGGATGAAGATGTTTGTGCTGTAAACACTGTGAACATTTTTTTTTGTTTTTTTTTAAATGGTTTTAGGTTTTTATCCTTTTTGGGTAAATATGATGGTGAGCTATTGCTGGATTTTGTGGTAAGATTATGTTAAATTTTGTAAGAAACCACCAAAATCTCTTCCCAAGTGGCTACACCATTTTCCATTGCCACCATCAATGAATATGAGTTCCCATTCCTCCACATCCTTGCCAGTGTCGATGTCAGTGTCCGGGGTTTTAGCCATTCTCATAACTGTGACATTATTTCATTGTCATTGTCATTGTATTTCCTGGATCCTGGATGACATGTGAGGAGGAACATATTTATGTTCATATTTGCTGTCTTATATCTTCTCTGGTAAAATGTCTGTTAAGATCTTTGACTCATCTTTAATCAGATTGTTGTTCTCTTACTGTTGATAAGTGTTTGTGTACTTTGGATAGCAGTATCCCTTATCAGATATGTCTTTTGCAAATATTTTTTCTCAGTCTGTCTTGTCTTCTCATTCTCAGTGTCTTTTACAGAGCAGAAACCTTTAGTCTTAATGAAGTCCAGCTTATCAATCTTTACGATCATGCCTTTGGTACTATATCTAAACAGTCATCACTAATTTACAAATTTAGTGGAAATAGTGATGACATTTTTTTCACAGAACTAGTGAAAACAATCCCAAAAATCATATGGAAGTTCAAAACTCCAAATAATCAAAACAGTCTTGAGTAAAAAGAACAAAGCTGAAAGCATCACACTATGTGACTTCAAAATATTGTACAAAGCTCTGGCAATGAAAACAGCATAGTCAACCCTAAAAACACACAGACACAGACCAATAGAACAGGAATGAAAACCCAGAAATAACCCCGTGCATTTATAATCCAACCAACCCTCAAGGGTGCCAAAAATGTACATTGGTGAAAGAACAGCCTCTTCAATGAATGGTATTGGGAAAATTGGGTCTTTGTAGAAGATGGAAACTATCTCTCTTCCTAAATAAAATCACCTCAAAAGTAGAAGGAAGACCTAAATGGAAGATCTGAAACTACTAGAAAACATAGGAATACTTCAAAGCCTTGGTAGATGTATTGACTTTTGGGTAAGACCTGAAATCACAAAACAACCACAGCAAAACACAGACAAGCAGGATTAATAGCAATTAACAAGTTTCTGCATAGCCAAGAAAGTAATCAAGTAGAGTGAAGAAACAACTTACAGAATGTAAACAAAAGTTTTGCAAACTATTTTTCAGACAGATGATTAATATCCAGAATACAGAAAGAATAAAGAGCTGCAGTTACAAAACCAAATAATCCAATTCAAAAATTGGCAAGTTATAGGAATATACACTTTTCAAAAGAAGAATTTTAAACCGCCAATACATTTATGAAAAAAGTACTCAATATCATTATCCACCAGGGAAATACAAGTCAAAACCACCAAAGAGATATTCAAAGGCAAAAATGAACAAATGCTGGCAAAGATGTAGAAAAAGAGAGACTATCATATACTATTGATAGAAATGTAAATTAATACAGCCACTACTGAGACAGTATGGAGGTTCCTTCAAAAACTAAAAGTAGATCTGCTAAACCTAGATCCATCTAACCGACTTCTGGGTCTTTATCTAATGGAAACGGTATCAGCATAGAAGAGAGATACTTGCACACCCATTTCTATTACTACAATACTAGCAGACCTAGGATATGGGCTAAACCTAGATGTGTATCAGTGGATAAAATGTATAAAGAAATGTGGTATATATACACAACTGCATTTTATTAAGTAAAAAATGAGTGATATCTGTCACTTGCACAAATAGATGGAACTGGAGGACACTAAGTGAAAATAAGTCAGGCACAGAAAGACGAAAACTGCATGTTTTTGTACTATAATGTGAATGCTAAAGAAAGTCCAAAGTAGCAATAGTGCTTACTAGGAGGCGGGAAAAGTTTGGGGGTGGATTGGGGGAAGGAGAAGGTTTTAAATGCATCCAAATCATTTAGATGGAAGCAATAAGTTCTTGATCGTCAGCACTGTGGGGTGCTGTAGTTCATAGTAACCTATTGTATGTTTTATTAATTATTAGAAAAAAGGAACTCAGAATTTTCAACCATAAATTAATGATAAAGAGATGGTAATATTGATTATACTGATTTGATCAGTACACCTAAGGTGAATTATCACAGTGTACCCCATAAATACCTACAATTAATAATAGATTAGTAAAATAAATTGAGGTAAATAAAAAGTCATTACTGAAGCAAAGGCAATTTAAATTTTTTCCTATCTTCTAGGGATGTTATAATTTTGGATTTTGCCTTTATCTCTGTGTCCCATTTTAGTTTAAATTTTTTATGAAAGGCGTAAGGTCTATGTCTAGGCTCATGTTTTACAGTAAATATTCAACATTCCAGAACCATTTGTTGAAAACACTATTTTCTTCTCCATCTTATCACCTTTGCTTCTTTGTGAAAGATTAGTTGACTATATTCACAGACGGCTAGTTTTGGCACCTCTTCTGTTCCATTGTCATATTTGTCTGTACTTTCACCAACACCACAATCTCTTGATTACTATTATGTTACAGTAAGTCTTGAATCTGTCTGCTTTTAAGGTGACCCTTGCCTTAGCTCTCATTTGGTTGTGTGCCTTACAAATTCTTTAAATAATCTAAGTTACTCAGCATTTCTGCTGTGTTTCATTTTCGTTGGTCTTTGTATTTCATAGTTTTTGATCTCTGTATTTCATATTCTAGGCTGTAAGGGATTGGAGTTTTCTAGTTTCCAGGCTAGGTGTTCTTTCGAATCACTACAGTGTATTGTTGTAACCTGTAATAGTTTATTGAGCAATTGTAGAGAATGTATTATAAGTCTTTCATGTCCATCACCACCATTCCATAGATAAACCAGGAACCTGGTACACAGACAATGTGGTCAAGATCACAGCCTTTTCAGCTACCTGCTGTTCTTTTCAGTATATTCTAATTTGCTATTAATTCATCCCTCACTTTACCTACAGGAAAAGATTGGGAAAGGAGGAGGCTGTGATGGGCCAGTTGCACAGGTCATTTGCTCCTTCTTTGCCCAACCTCCTTAAGATAATTTTCTCCTTTCCTGACTGCCAAAACTAGTTTATCTTCAGGTGTCTGGTAATTCCCTAACGCTTTATCCTCTGTGTGTGCTGTGAGTCAGCTGGGCACCATGTTCTCTGTGCGATTTAAGTATCAAATGGTGATTGCTATTTTTCTGAGTTTTTGTTCAGTGAAACGGTTCCTAGCATTTTGCTTTTGTGTTTCGGACATTACCTATGAATTGTGAAAATTTTCAAGTGGCTAAAAGCCTTTCATCAGGCCTATATTTTTGGTTGTGTGACTGTGAAGTATATAAGATATGTAGAACGCTGTGAGTTACAGAAGAAATGAAAGATGTGGAACACCAAAAATACCCAGGAGCTACTTAAGTAAATAAATAAATGTCCATATTAGTATACATGCATGAAAATGTGTGTATATCATAGTAACCTGATTTAGTATGGTTATTTCATTCTAACCTTTGAAAATTCAACGAACTATTTATATTCAGATTTAAAAAATTTTAAAATCCTTTCAATTTAATATTTTTTTGCCCATTTAGCTGTCAAAGTTTGATGCTTTATTACACATGGAGAGAAACTGACTCTTGCCATAGAGTATATGAAAATCCTACTTACTTGCACCCTGGTGTGGTTCCGTAGGTGTGCACGTGGCTGCCCACCTGGTGAATGCCCTCAACTTCTCAGTGCACTACAGTGAAGATTTTGTTGAACTGAACGCAGCAAGATACCAAGATGAGGTGGGTGGTCTCTGTCTTCCCACTTCCCTTTCACTTGTCATTAGATGACTAATGAGGGTCTGTGATTTTCACAGAAAATTTGTACCTTGCTGCTCCTTTTGAGTGCTTTCGAAATGCAGTTGTCAAGTTCAGTTTTATTCCCTTTCAGTAGAAAATATAGGTAATTACTATTTCATGGTCTCTCCTGCTGAAAATGGCAGTTTGCAGAGCGTCTCCCCTTTATATTTGGCAGTATTCAGATGGTTGTCACTCAGAGCCACCTTCTCACTCCCAACAGCTTTTGTCTAATTCCTATCATTCAGCCAAGAGTGTCGACAGTCCCATTAAAGGTTAAAAATACTTTAATAATTCACAAACTGTGCTGGGGGGAAGGGCAGAAAAGCATGTTGATTATCTGTGGATCCTAAATGATCAATTTATTGGACTTAACAACTATCATTGGGTTTTCTATTGTTCTTTTTTTTTTAAATCCTGGAAATGGGTGACCTTGAGCCGAAGTCTATAGCAGACACTATCTGACTTATGTGAAGTGGTCATGGCTCAATTTTATTTATATATTGCATTATATATGCAAGGTGCTGGCCCAGATCCTGATGCACGCACCTGCACAGCCCTGGTTGGAACTCTGTAACTTGGCACTTTTTGTAGTGTCTGCAGCATGCCTTTGCTTCATAATGCCAAGATTGCATCAGAACCACATTGGTGCATGTCTCCTTTGGTCAGAACTCTGCATTCTCTGCTGAGTGGTTTTGACTTCCCACCAGTGTTCTCATGTCTTCCCCAACTGTATTGTGTCTTGTACCTATCACCAAATGTGAATTCTAAAAAACAGAGGAGCAAAAAACGGGAAAGATGCAAAGGAAATTATATGAAAGAAGCAGGAAGCAAGAAACCCTAAATGATGTGGGCAGAAGGACGGAGGAACATGGAGAGTGTCTGTGGTAGGCTAAGAAGCTGGATAGCTGGATTTCCCAGTGGTTCTCAATGGGGGGGGTGTTGCACACTGTAACCAGAGCTTAGAAAATACCCATGCTAGGTCTAACCCATACCAATTAAATCAGACTGATGTTTGATAGCAATTATCAAAGTTACTTGCTATTTCAGTTTCATGACTTGTTTCAGTGTTTGTTGCTATGTTGTTTTGCCCATTGTTTTGTTTTGGGAGGGAAGTCAAGCAAATGATTACAGCATAATGAACCTTGAAAATTTACAGTGTACCTGTAATTGTTTTTATCTTTTAAATGATATATTTAATCACTTAATCTAATACTTCAGTATTTTCAAACATTTGAAGGTTTTTTTGTTATGAAAATTATTTTATGTCGAATGATACTTAATACAAAATACTTTAAAACCCCAATTAAAAGAAGTTAAAAGTGAAAACTTCTCCTCCAAAATTAGCCAGAGTAAATTATTAGTGTATGCTTTCTTCCCAGATATTTGAGTGATACTTTGTGATATTTACTCCTCTTTAATTTACTTGTTTTCATAAATAGACATCCCAAGACTTGCTTTGTCATAATATATTGCTCTATCTCAATTTCTTCCTATGGATGTGCCATAATTTACTTTTTGGCCTTTTCCTTATTTACAGCACTTACACTGATTCCAAGTTGGTCATGAACCACTTTCCACTAAACCCATTTCTGTCTACATCTCTTTTACACAGATTTCTACACTTATTTCCATACCTGTTTCTATAGTTTTTTATTGCCAATCTGATGAATAAAAGTGGCAACTCATTATTTAAGATATTTTCCCTTTCTTTGCTTCTTTCTTTTATTCTTTCCTTCAAGTGTCTCTTTGTTCTTTCGTCTTCTCTTTTAATGAATCTGTATTGAGCCCCTAATAAGTATAGGGCAGTGTGCTAAATGTAGATGAAAAGAAGTCACTAAACAGTCACACATGCACTAAACAGATATATTACTCTGTAAATTCTCTTTGAAAAAGATGGTCTGTGTCATACGTTTTATTGTTCCAACTTCATGCTTTTGCTTTCCCTGGAGTGACCGTCCTCCAGAATGTGAGTGCTGTGCTTCGTGGCTCAGTTAAATCTGCCTCATTTTCTCATGCATGCAATCATCTCTTACTCTCATGTCCCCTCTTCTTTCCCTAGCAATACTAATTCTTATACCCTCAGATTGTCTGTATTTGCTTGTTTACATATCTACTATAGCCACTTTGTTTACTCCTACATGTGTACACACACACACACACACGTACACCTTTTTTTTTTTTATGGTGCTAGAGGAGTTTGAACTCATGACTTCGTCTTGCTGGCAGGTGCTCTACTACTTGAGCCAGGCCTCCAGTCTGTTTTGCTATGGATGTTTTGGAGATAGGGACTCACTTTTTGCCTAGGTCAGCCTGGACTGTGATCCTCCTAGTTTATATCTGTCCTAGGAGGGATGAAAGGCACACACCACTCCACACCCAGCCTTTTCTCATTGAGATGGGATCTTGCAAAATTATTTTCCTGGGCTGGACTAGAACCATGATCCTTCTGATCTCAGCCTTTCAAGTAGCTATGATTACAGGTATAAGCCACCAGCATCTGCTCCAACTTCTATTTGTACTAGGTATTTACATATTGGTTTTCTCAGGGCTGAGGTGTAGCTCAGTGGTAGAACATGCAATATCTTGGGCTTAGTCCCTAGCACTACAAAAGAAAGATGAAATTAAAATAGTATGTAGTGGCTTTCTCACACTTTATTCATATTTCTAATTCCAGAAGGATAAGTTATTTAATGTAAGCTAAGTGAAGAGCTATTCCTAGGCAATTGGTCCTTACTCAGGTCCCCTAAAATTATATCGCATAATGACTCGTCACTTACTCTGCAGTGGTTCAAAGAGGGGAATTCAAAAGGTGTACAATAGTGAGCACCACAAGGGTGAAGAATGAGTCTACAATTCTATTAGGGATTGGCCCAGATTTTCCAGAAGGTAGAAAGAGAGTTGACTACACTTCATAACAACAAGAAAGATGTAACCATTGTTGTAGGCAGTGTTACAATAGCAATATTAAAGGCTTAACATTTTCAAGTAGAAGAAAGTTTTTGACTACTCTTATTATTTTTCTTAGTATTTGAAGCATAATAAGTTCTCAGTTAGTGGTCTTTGCACTGGGTTTACAGTGTGCAAACCCCCAACCTACTTTATTGTTTTTCATTCTCACTGTCTTGTAGGTACAGTTTGGCAATTGCAGTATACAGAGTATATATTAATATTTTCAAAATGTACTTCCATCTACAGAGAGTCTTAGCCTCTGGGAGGCTGAGTCAGGAGGATCATTTGAGTCCACGAATTCAAGACCAGCCTGGGCAACATAGACCTCAAAAACATTTTTTTTTAAATTATAGTTTAAGATACTGCATCTTGCTACTAGCCTTTAATTAAAATTAAACCCAGACTTTTTTTGTTTTCTTTTTTGATAATACTGGGGTTGAATGCAGGACTTCACACTTGCTAGATAGGTAGGTGTTCAGTTGCTTAATCAAACCTCATGCCAGTTTTGTTCTGGTTATGTTAGAGATGGGGTGTCACTTTTTTTTCTTGGGCTGGCCTGGTCTGTGACCCTCCTATTTTATTCTTTCCACAGTAGCTGGGATGACAGGTGCACATCACTATGTTCACCTTTTTCTATTGGAATGGGATCTTGCAAGCCCCCTTGCCACCTCCTCCCCACCACCACTGGCCTCAAACTGTAATCCTCCTGATCTCAGCCTCCTGAGTAGCTCAAATTACAGGCATGAACCATCATGCCCAGCTACACCATAAGCTCCCTGACTCATCCAGTGCGGTCTTTCTCAGACTGAAAGACTTGTGTTGACCTTTTGTTTGTGAAAATGTTATAAAATCTAATTGAGTCTGTCACTTAAACTGGAAGAACAGTACCTTAAATGCCCAATACATGGTTCTTATACCCTGCCAACTTCTTGTAGAATTATCTGTCTTTAGTGTTTTATTTTTCAGTCATATATTTTGTTTTTCCTTTTTCTCAGGATCCTAGAAAACTTCTCTTCACAACTGGTAAGTTGTTGTTTATTATCTTTCTTTAGAATCAAGAACATTTTTGAAAATAAGCACTGTCATATTGCATAGCAATTAGATACATATTAACATGTCAATGTATGGAAAATTTGCTTATCGGACAAATATTAAGAATTCAGCATAAGATTGCAATGATATCAAAGGGTCATCACAAACAGTTGTTGAATGAATGAAGAGTAAAAGTAAACAAAGTCACTGCTTTGTTCCCTGTCCTCTCAGTGAAGGCAGCAGAGCCCCATGTGCCCACTGAGGGCCTGCTTTGTGCTGTTGAGTTCCTGCTCTGAAGGTGTTGGAAAGAAACACCAAGCACTGTGGTTCCAACACAATTGTAATAATTCAGTAATTTACTGGGACATCTTGTGATCTTAAAACCTATAAGAAAGAGGCAGTTATTAAAATGTTATTTTTTGTAGTTTGTCTCCTTTCTTATTTTTCCTTCTCAAGCATATTGTCTATGAGTTCTTAGTCTAGACTATTAATTTGTTGAAGCACGTTTGAGCATCTTAAAAATTTCCCTGCAAGACTTCTTACTAAAATTCTTCTTTTTCTTAACCTTGCACTTATTTGTAAAGATGAAAGACGAAAGCTGCATTATGGAGACTTTTAGCACGTATTTCAGGGAGAAGCAGTATTGGGGAGTTGAGGTGATCTGTCATAAGTTGTTGGTTGTAATAACTTAGTAAAGAACAGAATTGCACAAGGGTTGCACATTACCCTGTCAAATGCATTGTTTTTCTTTGGAACCAACTTTATGATCAATAATAACAAAAATTCATGTACGTTACCCCTCCATGTCACAATTACACTATATTTAGATTTATAAAGTGCATTTTATTTCTGCCTATAGATATGTAGTATTTGTCACTTATTCTTTGCATAAAGTATTTCAGTTTTCTCTTTAGGAATACAGTTTAGTTTTACTTAAGTTTTTGCTCATCAAAAACATGTTTTATGTAAGCCAGAAGAATTTGATAATAAATAGAAGAGAAATAAAAGAAGAAAAACAAAACCTTATGTATAAATCAATGTACTTTTTGGTTCATATAAATTAATTGAAGAGGAATAAGCTAGAACTCTGTGTTAGTCATATTTTCTACTACGCAAATTTTAATCGAAGCCTTAAGATGTTAAAAAGGCTTCATAAAGTCTAGTTTACAAAGATATAAAGGTTTTCCTAATATGACCAGGGTATTACATTAAGAAAACTTAGTATAATTAATTCTGTATACACTGGTGATTCCTTCACCTTGCATAAAATCCCATTATTTTACGTTCTTTCCCAGAGGTCCACAGGAGTGGGGTTGGAGTAAGTAAGAGAAGATACTTAAATGTGAAGGAAGGGATGAAAAACACATGGTCAAGTCCCTTCCTACTGCTTTGCAAGCTACTGTTCCATCCACTGAACATCACATCCTGCCTTCTCACTGCCACCTGCCTTCCAGCTGAAATAGCCAATTTCTTTGTGTTCATTTGATCAATGCTTGCCTGCTCTTCCTTAAAATCATACCTGATAGGCTGTGATTCTACTACTGTATAGAATAGTCTATTTCCTAAAATATACTGTTTTTCCCACTTAACAGTGAGCTCCACTGTTAAGAGCTGCCTCTAGGGTATTCAGGACCAAGGCAAAGTTTTTTTACGGCCTCTGTCAGTATGAACAGTTCGAGACACTCAAAATTAGTATGTGAGCACCATTTTGGTAACCCTGTCATGCATATTTTCATGAAAGAAATACTGTGCTGGCCTGCAGGAGCCATCCACTTCCCAGGGAATCAGCTTAGGAGTAGTGGAGCTTAGACACGGGGCTTCCTAAGCAAGAGTCTGGGTCTCCGAGGACATCTGGGTGATCCTACTGAGTAGTAGCAGGCGGAAATGCAGTGGAGTCTAAGAATAGTAATGGGCTGAGACATGCTGTTTTCTATACATAGAATCAATCCACTTTTGTATTATTACTATTGACTAAAATTCTACAGCCATCTTTGAAGGTTCTTAGGTATAGTGCTTAGGAAAAATTAAATTCCTGGAAAAGAATGCAGGCATGTTTTGAGCTGTTCTAGTGATACAGAATATTTGTATTAGTTGATAGGTTTCTTGGATTTGCATGTATTTAATGTTGCCTAGTCTTCTTTCTCTGCACCTATATTTTTGTCATTGTAATTTACTACTAAGAAATTAAGATTGTTTTATAAAAAACAAAAAAAAGTGCAAGTGACATAAAATATGACAATTAGACTTGGTACAGAGGAACTGGTGACATAATTCAAGAATTTACAGCAGGCACAGTGCTTAAGCCTATAATCCTAGCTACTTGGGAGTTTAAAAATGCTTACATATTACATATCTCCAAATTTGGTAGTCCTTATATGGTGACAATAAAATGAACAACATCTAATTCCAATTAGAAAAACTTGCCTAAGCAAATATAATTATGTACCCAAATATGTAAAAAGTAGTAAGAAAGAAGTAGGATAGTGAATTAGTAGGCAGAAAGAACTAATAAAGATTGGGGCAGAAATTAATAAAATGGAGACTTAAAAATGTAAAGAATCAATGAAACAAAAAGTTTGTTCTTTGAAAAGATAAATAAGATTGATAAGCTCTTAGTCAAACTAACCAAAAAGAAGAGGGAAAAGACCCATATGAATAAAATTAGGGATGAAAAAGGGGTTATCATAACAAATATGAATCAAATCCAGAGGATCATTAGGGAATACTTTGAAAATTTATAGTCTAGTAAACTGGAAAATTTAGAAGAAATGGATACGTATCTAGATTCATTTGCCCTACTAAAGTTGAACCAAGAGGATAGAAGCCATGTAAATAGATCTATAATAAATAAGGTGATTGAAGCAGAAATAAAAAGTCTCCCCCAGAAAAAGAAGAACCCAGGACTGGATGGATTCTCTGCTGCATTCTACCAGACCTTTAAAGGAGATCTAACACCAGTCTTCCTCAAACTATTTCACAAAATAGAAAGGGAAGGAACACTCCCAAACTTTTTCTGTGAAACCAGTATTAACTTGATACTGAAACACAATAAAAGAAAATTTGGATCAATTTCCTTGATGAAAATAGATGTAAAAATTGTCAATAAAATCCTTGCAAAATGAATTCAACAACACATTAAAAAGATCATACATCATGATTAAGTTGTTTTGATTCCAGGGATGCAATGATGGTTTAACACATGCAAAGCTATGTAATACAGCACATAAACAGATTCAAGGACAAAAATCACAGTTATCTCAGTAGATGCAGATAAAGCTTTTGATGAAATCCAACATCCTCTCATGATAAGAGCACTGAAGAAAATAGGAATAGAAGGAACATATCTTAATGCAATTAAGGCTCTATATCACAAATTTATATCCATCATTATATTAAACAGGGAAAAACTGAAATCATTTTCTCTAAATCAGGAATGAGATAAGGGTGTCTACTCTCCCTATCTTATTCAATATAGTACTGGAATTCCTAGCCAGAACAATAAGACGAGAAAGAAAAGGGATTCAAATAGGAATGGAAAATGCGTATTTGCAGATGATATGATCCCATACCTAAAAGACCCGAAAGACTCCACTAAAAAACCTTGAAGGTCTGATAAACACTTTTGACAGTGTAGCAGGATACAAAATCAACATACAAAAGCTAGTAGCTTTTCTGTATCCTAACAAAAAATAGGCAGAGAAAAAAAATTGGGAAACTACTTCCATTCACAATACCCTCAAAACAATAAAATACCTAAGAATAATGAGGTGAAAGATCTCTACAAAGAAAACTAAAAGGCCTTAAAAGAAGAAAGAAGACAGCAGAAGATGGAAAGACCTCCCATGATCATGGTTTAGCAGAAATAATATTGTAAAAATAGCTATACTACTGAAAGCAATCTACAGATCCAAAGCAATTCCCATCAAAATCCCAATATAAATCTTCATATAAATAGAAAAATCAACACTGAAATTTACCTTAAAAACCTCGAACAGCCAAAATCCCAAGCAAAAGGAACAACATTGGAGGTATCACAATATTGAACTTCAAATTATACTATAGAGCCAGGTGCCTGTGGCTCCTGCCTGTAATTCTAGCTACTCAGGAGGCAGAAATCAGAAGGACTGCAGTTGAAAGCCAACCTAGGTAAATAGTTCGTGAGAACCTTTCTTGAAAATAACCAACACAAGAAAGGGCTGGAAGAATGACTCAATTGGTCATTAAGGTCCTGAGTTCAAATCATACAAAGCAACATGATACTGCCATAAAGACGGACATGAAGCCCGGTGGAACAGAAAAGAAGGTCCCAAATGAATCCACACAGCTATAGCCATCTGAGTTTTGACAAAGGAGCCAAAAACGTACATTAGAGAAAAGACAGCCTCTTCAACAAACAGTGCTGAGAAAACTGTTATCTACATGTAGAAGACTGCATCTCACCCTGTACAAAAACCAATTCAAAGTGGATCAAAGGTCTTAATGTGAGACTGGTAACTTTGAAACCACTGCAGGAAAACACAGGAAAAACACCCAAACATGCAGACATAGACAGTTGTTTTCTGAATATTACTCCAATGCCCAGGAAAGAAGAGCAACAATTTGACAAGTAGGTTTGCATCTAATTAAAAAGCTTCTGCACGCCACAGGAAACAATTACCAGCATGAACTAACAGCCCACAGAATGGGAGAAAGTCTTTGGCAGGTATTCATTGCATAAGGGATTAATGTCCAGAATATACAAAGAGCCCAAATAATCACATCACAAAACCAAGGAGTCCAGTTACTAAATGGGCAAGTAAATTGAACAGACAGTTCTCAGAAAAAGAAACACAAATGGCAAATAAATAAATGAAGAAGTGTTCAAAATCCATAGACATAAAGGAAATGCAAACCAAAACTATATTAAAATTCCCTTTCATTCCGATCACAATGACAAGGATTCAGGAGAAAGGAGCCCTCATGCACTGTCAGTGAGAATGCAAACTAGTGCA